AATCTGTACCTTTCTGTATGGCTTCACTCCCTGTCCCTCCACTGCCAATGACATACAACTCACAGTGCTGCTGGCCCAGGGATGAAATGCACTGAGAGCACCAAGTCTTAACCCCGAGGGAAAGTGGCACAGGAAGAAGGGAGAGAAAAGGTGCAGCACAGCAAGTCATGAGGTAGGGCTGCTACTCCACAGCATCTTCTGGTGCATGGGATGAACTTCCCTGCTACAGTGATGAGCTTCAAAAGATGCCTGACTGCATCAAGAAAAACTTCCATACAGGAAGGGTTGTCAAGCACTGGAACAGGTTGAGCCACCATCTCTGGATGTGTTTAAAAACCATTTGGATGTGGTGCTCAAGGACATGATTTAGCAGAAGGTTGTTAGGGTTAGAGTAGTATGGTTAGGTTGTGGTTGGACTCGGTAATCTTTAAGGTCTTTTACAACCTAAGCAATTCTATGATTCTATCTGAGTACCAAATCCCCATCCAGGTATCTAGGCTGAACTGCTTTGGTCTGATTTTCACAAACAGAGATTATCTGGGACTTTCATTGCATCTCAACACATATGAGCATTTTAAATAAAAGGAGAGGTTCTCTCTTTTTGTGCTTTGCAAGATGTTCACCCAGGCTTCACCTTCTGTGTTATGCTTGAAACATCATTTGAGTAATAAGAGAATATATCAGGTGTTTCTCTAATGCGTATTGAGTCGTACTCTCTCCTGTTCTCGTAAAAGCAATGCTGAAGGGACAAATCTGGCATACAACTGAGGTAGAAGATGTTTTACAGAATCACAAATCAACAGGCATGTTTGCAGAGCTTTTCTGTTTTAATTCTTCCCACTGAAATGTGTTTAAATACAAATAAGTATGTCCTGACAGTATATTCTAACTGAGCACTGAAATATTATTGTATGGAAACGTATAAGCCAGAAAGTAGCATTGACAGGAAACCAATTGAAACAAAAGAGCAGTGTTACTAAATGCCAACACGTAAAAAGGAAACACCGTGGTGAAGTAAATGGGGATCATGATACCATCTCAGTTTTCCAAACTGTGCTGTGATAAGAAACAGAGAATAAAAGCTGTTATGATATGTTAACCAATGTGATTATACCTCATTGCATAAAAATACAGAGAAGCCTCTATATTAGAAAAATCATTTGTTGAAATTCAGTACCACATGGTGCGACCTTGGAAGGAAGCGGCATGCATGAGGAATGGCCACATGGCAGCAACGTGCACTGGCACTGGTCCGATGGGTGCTGTGTCACAGAGCACTCAGGTGAGTTCATCACTTACATTGAGTTTGTGCAACAGATTCACTGTTTGAGGTGCTTTGGCCAAGAACCCCAAAGGCCTACCTTGTCAGTGTCAGAAACATAACCAAATAAACAATGTAGCAGAGGTAAGTACTTCACCATATCAAGCAAACATACTTCCCTCTGCATGTTTGCGGGTGAGATTGCCCACATGGCTTTTTGGAAGAGCAGTTTGCAGTCACTTCAGAAATAAGGATGCCTGCCAGGCTCTCCTAACATCCCATAGCAGAAGTGTAACAAAGTGTTACGTGCAGCTGTAGTTACTGACTGAGCTGGAGCACAAGCGCTGTGAGTTCTAAGGGGAGGAGCTGGGCTGAGATGCACTGGAGGAACTTAACATTCCCACCTATATTTTCTCAGTAGTGTCTAAATGTTGTAATTTGCCACTGGAACTGAATCAAACTACAGAAAGCAATATGGGCTCATTGCAGTAATGGACAAATTGACATTGCCTGAGGACAGCACAAGCTCTGACTGCCCAGAAATTCAGGGAGCATCTCGCACATGCTGTGAGAAGCTGAAGTGTGTATTTTTAAGCTCTGGAGCTTGGCAAACTTCGAAGCGGCTGAAAATTAGATTGATTGAGCATCAGAGACAAGAGCATTATTCTTATAAAACTCCTTCACTGTTCCCAGTAAAAAGATTGTTGTAAGCACAGAAATGTAAGTGCTTTGACAAGAAAAAGCAACAGCAAGGAGTAGACATTGGCTGACTTCTGTAAACCTGAAAAGAATTAATCTTTTGAAAATAGAAGTCAGGATCTCAGCTGTGGAATAAAAAGGCTCAGTTCCACTCTCTTCAACATAACTGTGCTATCTGAGCCATCTAGCACTGTGTCACATTCACAAGACATTCTGGTACCACTGTCATGGATTCCTCCTTTTTCTAGCATGGGCAAGGGAACTGTGGTGGGAAGAGAAGTGCAAAGCAGAGAGAGGAGGAAAAGGTTCCTTTTCCATAAGGAAAGAAAGAAATGCAATGAAGTAGTCCAAGCACAGTCTACATGTATGTACACAGAGCTTCACGAGTTGTATAGGAGTCACACTGCACTCCACAGCGTCCACCTGAGCAGCTCTCTCTGCGGGCAGTGGGAAGGCAGTCTGCCCAGAAACTCCTCTATTGCCCCAGTTAAGGAGCAGGCACGGTCACAACTGGAGTCCCAGGACATCAGCCTGGAGAGCCATGCTTTGTGGGGACAGCACCTGGAAGTGGGGAGAGGGCACAAGGGATCAGGCCTGTTCAGAGAGAAGGATGAGGAGGAAGCCATGACAGTGACCACAAGGCTGCAAGCCTGGAGTGCACAGTGGAGGGTTTGCTTGAGAGGGATGGCAGTGTGTCTTTAGTCAGCCTGAGGAAAGCAAGGAAGCCAGGATTTGGAGTAAACACGCTCTTGCTGGCTGCTGAGGACTCACCAAAGGATCCGGTGTGGTCGAGCAGCCAAGGAGGACTGGGGCTGCAGCTTGCTGGCCATCTGTGCCTGCCAGCCTCACGCCAAAGCTGCTCCCTGCAGGACCCTTCCCTGACACACGCTCTCATTCTGTCAGGCAAGGGAGAGAAGCGAAGGAGGACAGGTACAGAATGCTATCTTAAGGGGGATTTTCAGTGTTAACAAATTTCTGCATTCCTTTAAGAGCTGTGACTGATTGCACCAAAATCCTCTTGCAGACAATCTGAAGAGCTGAAGAGTATAATATAAAAAATGCATGTGTTATGCAGAGCCACACTCGTGTTATCGCTCTCCTACCTGCAGCACATCCTGTGTGCCTCTGACTTCATTTAAGCTACATTAGACTACGGACATATTTTAAATAAACGCCCACTCTCCGAGAAGCACCAGTTCATGTGGTTACATACACTCTGCATTACATATTGAACCTCTCGTCCACAGAATTCAGTGCCTAAGTAAAGGCAAATTTGTATCCAAACAAAAACCTCTTGCATATTTACCTAACAATTCTCCATGAAATATTCATGTGCTTAACTACTGACACAGTAAAACTTCACACCAGCTTTCCTAACGTGTATGCCTGCATCTGTGTATGCCTGCAGCCGGCATCTACATGCATTTTTACTCCTTGAGTGTAACATCCCATACACATTCCTTGGGGCAGGTGGTTATTTACACTCACCCTTGTCTCTGCCGTAAACATCTGAGAGGAAACAGAGGTGGAGGAGGAGGACTGGCTGAAGGGCGTCCAGCATCCCACTCGCTCCCAGCTGTGACACACGGTGTGTGCTGCGGCTGTATTTCTGACAGGCCTTTCTTTAGTTGCAGGGAATCTCTCGCAGAATGTCCCCATGCTGTCAGGAGCACAGTCTGATCACAGGCACTGCATTTCTCTCATTCAGAAGGACCTCCTGGCCACTTGAGTGGGAATCTGAGGAAATGCCTCAGGCGTCCCCACCTGTGGGCCGCAGTGCTGTGCCCACGTGGAGTTGCTTGTAGCCATATTTGCCGTGCCAGAGGCAGGCTGGGGGACGCAGTCAGATCATTTTGAATTTGTAGATTTTTTTAAATGAAATTGAATTGAAAGAAGCATTAGCTTCATCAAAAAGCCAAATTCCGTTAGAGTTATCAAACATCACTCAGCTGCGAACAAAGTTCTGCTCTTTCTCTGTGCTTATTTGCTCTTTTCATGTCCTTAGCATTGATTTCCCACAGGTTTCCTACCACTACGTACAGTCTGATGAGGAGATTCTTTCATTGGGCCCCTGCTGCATCGTCCTCTAACTGCCTAGTGACAACAGACACAATTAGCCTGAAGGGGGGGAACAGCCAAAGAGAATCCAGTGAAATGACAGCTGCAAACATACCATTTGATACCCTTCAGTGTGTGCTAATGACTCTTTTCAGCACATGCCAGTGAGAGACATTGTGAGCATGACTGAGGAGTGGAAAGGAATGAGAGCTGAAGAAAGTAACACAACATTTTTTATCAAAAGATAAATGCACAGTGAATCATTATAGATAATCCCTTGCTTATGCATGAGTTTACACATGACATACCACAAGCAGAAGGAGAACGTGGTCCACTTCTGCCCTCAATTACGTGGTGCAAGGGCCAGGCAACTTAAGGGGAATGGCATCTCCTGGAGGAGAGAAGACAGAGCGGATCTTACAAGGTTTATGAATATCTGAAGTGTGGGTGTCAAATGGATGGGGTTCTTTCCAGTGGGGCCCAACAACAGGACAAGGGGCAATGGGCACCAACTGGAACATAGGAGATGTTCCATGTAAACATGAGGAAATTCTCCCTCACTTTGAGGGTGACAGAGCACGGGAACTGGGCTGCCCTGGGTGGCTGTGGTGTCTCCTTCTCTGGAGATATTAAAAAACCTATCCGGAAACTTTCTTGTGAAGCATGTTCTGCTTCTCCTCTGCTCTGTCCCAGAGGTGTAAGCCCAGTTCTCAATCAAGGGCAATGCTCTCTGTGCTGTTTCTTGGCTTGCATATAACACGATTTGTCATCAAAAGCCCGTCTGTCTATTGGTATCTCTAAAACATCTACTGCCTCGTACAATACCTGAGCAGCGCACATGGAAGTAAGTGCTTATGGGTAGCTTAAAAATGTTTTTATTTATGTTACAATTTCCATAGGTAGCTTGAAATAAACATTATGTACTTGCTCTGCTTCTTCAGAAAAGGCTTGTTAGATTTATTTTTTTTCTATTTCCTGTTTACCTGTTTCTCCTGAGCTTCTTCCTTTTTTTAACTGCTGTGTCTGAATTTCCTTCATGTGTTCCTAAAAGAGATGAGAACAAAAAAGTCTGAACCTCTTACAAGAATATTTTTAAAAAGTTTTCTAAAGAAAATGATTATTCTGGCTAAAAGAATGTGAATTGCACCTGCTGCTTAAATCACAAAGGAAACCTATCTATTTTAATTTGTAGTAAAGTACAGGATTGGGTGAGGCTAAATAGGTATGTGAGCTCCTTTGTTGTTTGAGCTCATATTGCCTAGGGCTTGGTTCCATCAGCTAATAAACAGCGCTGGTGACAAGATCAAACAAATACCCAAGTAGGTATAATAGGTATAATAGTTGGGTCTATTTAAAATAATATTCAAAAGACAGAAACTGAGAAAACCATGAGTTTTCATGCTGCGACAAGTGAGACACAAGAGCCACTGTTGGAGGGACAGCACTCAGATCAGGGAAGAGGTTCAGGCACAGTTAAGCACAAGGAACACTTCACTGAAATTTAAAAATATATATTATGAATAAAACATTTAAATCTCTATTTATTTATATTGCTTAAAATGAGTTCCTGCTGTAATACAGCTTGTTTCTAATAAATATGAAATACCTTCTATTTGTATATTTCTATAGTCCTTAACGGTAATCAACTTGCTCCTCGGAGCAAAAAATTTGGCCATACGACTTAATAATCCTCCAAAACATGCTGGACTTCTTAGCATCCCTTACAGCTTCACCATGTAAGCAGGTATCAAGCACGCTGATACTGACAACTGAATAACAACTAAAGCTGCCAGCCTTCGTGGGTAAGCACTCACTCCTCTTGCAAGAAGATGAGAGTTGGGCTTTGGTGAAGAAAAGCAGAAATGTAAAACAGAGACAACTGTATAAATGCACTTCTGTTATCTTTTTCTTCTTCACTTTGTTACATTCTCAATGCACGTGGCATTCAGGAACAATTCCACTTTTAGCAAAGGGGAATATCAGGTTTCCATTCATTGATATAAAACCAGGACAAGGGTCTCTATCTTCTTTGTCATACACAGCAAAGCACTATTCTCTTTGTAATCACAACAGATGGAGAAGGATTTCAGGGATCCAGAATCAATTCAGTCTGATAGAATTCTGTCCCACAAATGAGGTAAAGCACCACGTGCCACTCTGCCCAGAGGCCAGCAGCTTGCATATGCTTGTAGCTGGCAGCACATTGGCAAATGCTGCTTAGTGTTTTTAGGTACAAAGGGCATAGCAGAAATGTGTGAAGAGCAGGTGCCAAACTACTCTCAGAATGCCAGGGATGGGCAGGAGGAGTGACCCATAGATTTCCATCAGCTTAGCAGTGCTGCAAACGAGAGCAAAATTACACCGTCTCACCTCCATCTGGTTCTGCAGTGTGTTGAAGCACTATCAAGGCAACCCAGCATCTATCTCCTCCTCTAAACACCTCCCTTCTAACAGGCTGACTTTCAAAGTGCTGAGCAGCCACAGCTCCCACTGAGATCACCGAGGGTTGTAGCAGCTTAGCATGTGTGAAAGATTGGGGGATTCTCACTTCCACGTTTAAATACCATCACTGGTGTCTGATTTCAGGTATCCAACACTTACAATGGGACCAGAGCAAACAAGTATCTCCACTCTGACTAATAGCTCCTCAGAAGCTGAGCATATAAAAAACCAGTCGTGGGCCTGAAGGCTTCTTTCAGTAAAACTCTTTTCACATTAAGAAAATTGGAAGAAAGCAACATATATTTTAATTTAAATATCTCCTAATATATTTACTCAAACAAAATACCAGCCATTTCTAATATAGGACCATGTGTGCAGAATGCATAATGGAGTGCACAGGAGCTTTCTCTAGCACATCTTTTCATATCCTCACTTCTGCTTCTGATTAGATTGGAAGCACAGTGCTGGGATGGAGTAATGAACATCCACCCACTATTTTTTGTGAGAGGAAACTGAACAACCAGCTCCTTGGCCATTATTTCTGTGAATTTCCCAAGCTATGAATGCATCAAACAGTAACAGAAAAAAGCCCTATTTTTAAGGTGTATCTACAGGCTCTATGGAAAACAAAAACAAAACAAGAAATCAGATTTAACCTGTTTCCGGAAAGCCTGTAAGAACAAATTTTGACTCATTTGTTAGTGAGAAACCAGGTGCTTGGTAATACAAGATCATAAGGCCTCAAAAAGACACTGGCTTCAGAAAAAGCCACACATTTGCCACCGAAACTACAGCCATTTTCTAATCTGCTCGACACCCAAAACAGCTTAGTATTTTTACCAAATGCTACCCTGTAGATTTGGAAATGGAGAGCGACGATATTGCTAGTGAGGAGCATTACTCTGATGTACCATCCTCTCAACACGTAACAAATAAAGGACTTTGTTTCACTTCCACAAAATTAGCATTAATGCCATTAAGAGTCTATAGAATTTATTATGAAAAAATGGAAACAGTGAATGACTAACTGTGATCTTGGCAGCCAAAAGTTTGTAATTTGATGTAATATACATGAATGAGGAAAACAGTGTGAACTTTAATTCTTATGTGTTTATACACGGTCTGAAATACACGACATCAAAACCTTCAGTAGTAGCAAAAAGCAACGCGCTTGTGTCCATGGAGTAATACAAGTATAACATTCAATTCTATTTTTTCCCTTTGACTGCCAATTTTATGGCACTTCATTTAAACCTGAATCTCCAAAGAATCAATTCAAATTAGCTTTATAATTTTCCCCAAAGAATCTGCTTTAAAATAAATTGAATTGGAACGTAAGACTTAGTAAATGAGTATAAGATTCAAGTGAACTTTTCTGAAGGAAAACCTCTTTTAATCAGAAGACAAATAAAGCTCAGGTGCAATAACATGACAGCTCTAAAAATAGTTTGTCCTTTGCTGCTGGTTTAACATTGGACAAACCATGTTTTGTGTAGTTGTGATGTCTAAGGATTTCTTGCCATGTTTCTGGTAATATAAGTTGATCTATAAGATGGTGTTCTACAGCAGACATCAGAAAGCCCCTTTTTAAAATAAAGAACTGTCATTGCATCAAATCTCAATGATCCTGCAGAGGACCAGCCTGGAAGGAAAGGCACAAAAATGCAGCTACGTGCCAGTGGGGTTGTCAGAAGAAAGCCAAGGATGCTCACCTAAGGTGATTACCAGATTTTAACCAATGACTAGATATTCTGCAGAACATTGAGCCCAGATGTCAACAGCCCTTCTGAGTCCTATCCCCATCATTAATTTTCACTACATCTCCTTGGCAATTCATTTAGCTTCCTTTTACAGTGTTGAATAGCAAATGTGGAAAAAGTGCTAAGTTTAATTATCATATCACATATACATAAAAATCACTTTGCCTTCTACTTATATGCAGCTGTGCTCAAGGTGGAAATCTGGCATTGAGATGATATTAATTCCAGCCACAGCTTCAAGTGGCCCCAGTGTCAGCTGTCACAGAAGGACAGCTGGGGGACAGAATGTGTTCCTGCAGCACCTTGCCTACTGCAGTCTTCATGAAGCCAATGCAACAGCCATCCAGAGGAGGGGGCTCCTCCTGCCCCATCCTGGTGACTTCTGTTTGAGTGCTGGCCTTCTCATTAAGCATGGACGGTGGCACCTACATCCAATATGTCACCAGTATCTGTATTAGGACAGACTCTACAACACCTCCAACGTAAATCATATGCGTTTTTTTATACTCAAAAAGAAAAAAGAAAACAAAAAACCATAACCACCCAATCCAACAAGGCAGTGTGGGCCAGCAGCTCCCTGCGGACCACGAAGGCTTTCTGCAGGGAGACAGGAGCCAAGAGACGGGGGCCAGGCCAAGATATGGCCACGGTCAGGCCTGGTTTGGCAGGGCCCGTGGCTGACAGGGCTGGGCTGTGGGGAGCTGAAGCCCAGCTCTGCTGGTGCCTCACTGAGGCAGCAGCCATTGGCCCTGGGCTGATGCGGGGTGCTGGGCTGCGAGCAGCTCAGGAGAGGCTGGGCAGAAGCAGTAAGGCCCACAGGGCTATGACACAGTTTCTAATATTCTTCTGTTTTACAGTAACACAGACAGACGCTACATTGAAGAGCAAAAATTCCTCCATTTTACCAAGCAGCCTTCATCAATATTATTTCAGGCTTCTGCTTGAAAAGATATATTGCTAATATCCATATGGGCAATGACAAGACCAAGATGCCCACCAAAGCACAAACTACGAAGAACAAACATACCTTTGATTTTCCATAGATGCAGCCAGAGAAGTTGTAATTCAGGACACCTCGTTATTCATTTAATTATTCATTTTGTTTATTTACAGTAGAGATATTACACATAATATGGTGTAAATCTCCAGCATCCTCAAACACCAGATGCTGTTTTTTCTCTGCAGTCCCAAAAGGAAAAACCAGAGCATCACTGTGAGAATTAACAAAAAAGCCCAATTAAATCCTTTGCCAGAATGCTGATTTCCCAAAGATAAAAGCTGCAAATTAATAATAAGCTTCTGGTCACCTCCTTTATCAATTTTGCTCCCATTAGGAATTACAATAATCCATGTTTAAAATGGAAGATATCAGGTAAGCAAGCAAATTTTTAAAAAATTTATTTTAAAACTGCAAATATATAATGCCTCACCGTTTTCTCATCTCAAACACAGACCATCAGGAAGAGCTGCTAAGGACATGGCTCAGTTGAATGAGAAGATATGCACAGATGGTGGTATAGATGCATGAGAGAAAAAGTCTTCACCCAGGATACAGAGAACTGTGCAGGGGCTGGACAGGTCTCAGAGGTCGCTGTCTTGTCTCCCTGCCCCATCACTGCACTGATAAACCCAAGCTCATCCTTGCAGGTATATATTCAGCCTGCTCTTAGACACCCCCTCTTTATGGGCATTTGACCACAGCTTCAGACAACAGATCCCTGACAGTCACTCTCTGATTACTGAAGATTTTTTCCTGCTTTAAAGTAAACCTCACTTGCTATAGTTTTATCATGTTAGTTTTTGTACTTCCAGTGGATGGGAAGAAAAGCATTAATATCTGTAATTCCCGTGTTCATTTGAATATTGTTACCACATCCTTCCTCAGTTTTCATTCCTCCTTGAACAATCTCAGCTTATTATTCAGTTGTTCTGCAAAGATCAAGTCCTCCACAATACTCACGGTTCCTGGGACTCTTGCTAAAGGATCTCCATCTTCAGGCAGTGGTTGCAATCAAATGTATTGATAAATGCCCATTTACCACTTTCCAGAGCATGTATATTCAAGCCTGGGAAGGAACACACACACAAAAGTAACATAACTGAGCCTAGAAGAGCTTCTTCGTTAGAAAATCTAATTTTACTGTATTGCTCAGCATTGCTGGAGGTCAGAAAGCTCAATGGTGATCTTCTGCCTACCCTCACTTTTACAGCAAGCTAAAGATGTCTCAGACACCACTCATTGTTGGGGGGGTCAAGGATGTTTTCCCACGTAGGGCCACAGAAATTGGCTGGAGCTGCAGCCATCTCTGGGTCCAGCTGCCCCCTGTTGTTTTGCCAGTGCCAGGAAAGCCCTAGTGGTGTATGTTGAATGGAGAGAAAGCTTAATGCTGCCACTTCATGCTCATAGCAAACATTAAACTTTTCAGGGCCCCAAAAAATCAGGCATCTTCCAATTAGATTTTCATTCAATTTGGAGAGATTATTATTACATGCACATTTCTTAAAAGGTTTTGACAGGGCACTGCTCTTTTTTTTCTATCAGAGTCCCACAGGCAGACTCACATTAAACACTTCTAGTTCATGCGTGGGACCAAATGAGTGCTTTCATTATCAAGGAGCAACACATCTTAGGTTGCAACCAGACGGCTCTTGAGCAATTATGCGCATGCATTAACTGGCACAAGGAGGTGAAACATCAAACATAGCTTGCCAACCCGCTGTTGCCCATGTGATTTCCCTGGTAACACCAGAGGCCGCTTCACAGAGTTGAAATATTTAGATTCTCTGTTGATTAATTCAGGAAGGGGTTTTGCAAAACATGCAAAAAGTGCAGCATTCGAATAATCGGAGATAAGTAAAATTGGCCAGAAAACAGTGGAGTAGGAGGTTATCTCAGCAGGAAGGATGGGTTGAATATGTGGACGTTTCTTAGAGGTAGAGACTCCTTACAGATGTGTTTGTGGAGTACTTTGATAATGGAATCCCGTGCGAGGATAAATGCTGCTGCAGTAACTATTCTTGAAGTGGTGACCATGAGAACTGAAAGGTAATAAAAGCTTTTATAGTGAATTGCATGCAGTTTACAGCACAGATGCCTTAAAAATCATAAAAATACAAAGTTGAAGATAACCCTACCCCTATCTTTCAGTAAAGTGAATAAAACACATTTTATATTATACAGTACCAACATAACTATAGACTTAGATTAACTGTTATGCTCTGAAAAGTGACTATAAAATGATATTGCAGTTTCTTGTTTATTGGGTACCAATGATTTTTTATCAAATATATTTTGCAAGTAAAAAAAAAATGTTTTGTGTAGCGGCAAAACTTCCAAGAAATGTAATTAGATTACTGTTCTCATGCTCTATCATCAGAATTCAAGATTACGTGGACAAAATAAAAACTCTGCTGACACCTCCGATTCCACTGGCTACAGGTGAGATATTAAAAGCATGCAGGGTATTTCTCTGCAGTGGAGCACAACACAGAGACCTCCACAGTCAGAAGTAGGTAAACTAGCTCAGATATTGAAAGCAGCTTAGCTTTAGCTACTATTCACTGACATGAATTATCTCATTGCGTTGCTGTGTGTACTGTGCCAAGCCCCAAGGTGTTCAGCAACATGTGGAATGTAACCTCAGTGAAGCATGCTGCTTATTTTCAGAGACACTTCTGAAAATCCCTTCACTGATCCCCTCATGTTCATATTGTCTTTGAATCACGTGAAATGGATTACAAAAAACCATACACCATACAGTGTTATCTACCTGGACTTCAGTAAGGCTTTGGGCATGGCAGTGACAGAACAAGGGGAAATGGCTTCAAATTAAAGCAGGGGGATTAAGACTAGATATGAGGAAGAAGTTTTTTTTGTAGATATTTTTTGTTTTTTATAATGAGGGCAGTAAAGCACTGGAACAGGTTGCCCAGAGACGTAGTGGAGCCCCATCCCTGGAGACAATCAAGGTCAGGCTGGATGGGGCTCTGAGCAACTTGATGGAGCTGGAGGTGTCCCTGTGCATTGCAGGGGAGTTGGACTAGATGACATTTAAGGGGCTCAAGTCAAACGATTCTGTTACAACCACACCTATGGAATAAAACTGTACTAACGAAATACTAATTTAACTCATTTTGTATGAAAACTATATTTCTATTTGTTTGTGTATTTCCCCCAATTATTTAAATGCATTTTTAGTGTCATTTTCCAAGGTTTACTCAATCTACTCGCACGCTGTGGTCAGCCTGACAGAGCACTGCAGTCTTGGCTTCATTTGCTTCTGGACCTGTTCCAGTTCTGTTGTTCAAAACAGTGTCCTTTCTAAGTCCCCATCAGCACTTCTGCTATACAGTCAGCAAGACTGTTTAAAGATGGTAAGCTATCTTTTTTGTGTATAACAACTTCATTAACGGAAGTCTAAATTTTGTTAAACTAAACTCATGCTGTTGCAAAGTAAATTGAAAAGGAAGTGGGGAGGAATTTGAAGTTGCTCATTTACAGCAGGAAGATACAGTCTCAGGAAAAAAAAAAAAATCAAAATACAATCTGCTTAACTTGGCTTCAGATTCTCCTTCAGGAGAATTTTTAGGTAGACTTCCCAGGGAAATACATTCAAAGGGACGTTGTATTAACAGAGATTTTATCTCCTAGAAATTTCAACTTTTTAATGTCATAACAGGATGTCACATCTACATCCATTGTGTAACAGAAAGAGTGAAGAAAACCTATATAGTGAGAGATAGAAGATAGGCACTCCAATTATTGTCACCCACTTTGGAAGAAGTAATACTTCCTGGAATCCAAAATAATCTGTAGAGGCTCTCAGAGAAGTCCACAGCTTTAAACACGGACAAAGTCACTGAAAAATAACCATGCCTGTGATCTTCATTTGCTCATCTTTACAACATTTGAGAAATACAAATGGATGTTCAAAACTGTATAAATTACATTCACACTCATTCTAAAATGCCTTTGCAGCGTGAGAATGACATAAAAGGCTTAAATATAAATAAGAACTGCAGACTGTGTGAGAGATAATACAATACTCAGGCAATAAGGAATCAAAGGATGGCACTGTATGTGTCAATCAACACATTTTTAAAAATCAGGTCTTGTTAAATAAACTTGATACAATTTTCATATGAAATTACAAGTCCATATGTCAATGCAGTTCTGATATGACAGCTCCTGTGAGGCACCGGACTCGGTATTAAACATTTGGATTTTGAAATTACTTTATAAAAGCAACACAACACATTCTAAAGGGATTCCAGTGCCTCAGAAAGCTCATTTATGAGAAATCTTTACTGAGTATATGTGTTCAATCATTTTCCACATTCTGCACTTCTATTTTCTGGAAAACTAGTTCTGTGATCTTTCTTCATTAATATCTTATTCTTTAATGACTGTTTTAGTTCATTAGATAGCCATTTTTTTTAAACCACATTCAGACACTCGATGCAATATACAAACCATCAGGCACATTTTGTGAGATACAGGGAGAAAAAAATGTATTTTTTCAGTCTAAATAAATAGAAGTTTTGAAGTAAAAACAAACCAAAGAACTTGTTCATCCCTTCTTCTACATGCAAGTACATCTTTGGATCTTTCCAACTTTGATGACACAGTCCTTGTCAAGAGCTACAGCTCTGCTGAAAGTGCTAGAGAAGTCATTTAAAAGCCAGCAGGCGTAAGTGAGAACAAAATTCACTGAGGAATTTCTTCTCTCGGCATCAGACTGTGGCACACTATTAATTAGCAGTTAAGATCTAATCCCATTTGCACGCTTCCTAGCTAAGAGAGCTGTATGAGAACAGCAAATCTGTATAGAAGACCATACACACACTACTACATAAACTACTATGATGACAGCCTAAATTTTGTTTCTTCAACAATGACTGGAAGGATCCAGTTCCTTCTAGCATTTATCTGCTTTAGCACTTCCTGTAAAAGCAGCTGTCTCTGCGACAGCCCGTGTGCCCTCCAGCCTCCTCCACCCAGTGCTCTGGGATGCCGGGGCAATGTGAGGGCACTGAGCAGGGCAGCATCCTCAACTGAGCGCTCTTCCCCATTGGCACAGTTGGAAATGGGCTACAGAACTAGATGGACTGTGGATCTGACCCCACAGAGCATTCCTTATCCAGCAGGACTAAGCTGCCCCGATTTCTTTACGTCCCTTGGTCTATGTACACCCTAACTAAGTTGTTGTGTTTTTTTTTTTTTACACTTCCATACTGTAGCTAGAGAACTGCCACAGCAAACTGCGATAGCGAATCACTGCAGAGGAGAACCAGCACCTAATAAGTTTCAGTATTAAATGATATATTTTTTTAAAATAAATCCATATGACTCACTTTTCTTAAGCTCCACTAAATTTAGATGATTGCTAAGTTTAGAAACCTACAGCTGTTCTCATGGGTTGCCATGAATGGAGAAAAATCTCTCCAAGAAGCAGTCTCTGCCTGATCACAATACACCCAGGCTGTGGCCCTGCATCAAAACAGCCTCCCAAGGCCGCAGAGGGTGCTGTGAGGGCTCCCAGCAGGTGCTGAGTGCAGCTTTAGCCTCAGAACAGCACCACTGTGTCAGCACAGCAGAGTTCAGGACCTGAGTCACACTCCCAGGCAGCATCCTGCACAACACTGCCCTGCAGAGTACAAATGCACCAGCTGTCAAGGACCAGCCCAAGGATCTCTGCACTACAGCTCATGCTCTCAGCGAGCTCTGGAAGCAAGGTTGTCACTGTAAGGAGTGACAGATTTCTGCAGCCAACAGTTAGCTGCCCCAGTAGTTTTGCAGATTGCAAGAGTCATCTTCCTATTCACATGTGGGTGCTTAAATAAGTCAAAAATATCACTTTTTATTTGTTATTGTTACATATATATTATTTCCAAGTTGCAGATATATTTTATGATGTAAAGTTACATGATGTATGAATGAAGATAATGGAAAAAATGAACTCTAACTGATTCCTAATGCCATTTCTGAATTAGCTGTACTTCCATTTCACTACTGAATTGTCAAGTTATTGTTATGAAAGCTATAGAACATAAAAAGGGAAATATCTTTATGCCATTATATAAAGCCATGGTTATTTCCTCAATTTCAGT